CACTGCCACATGCACTGCCACATGCACTGCCACATGCACTGCCACATGCACTGCCACATGCACTGCCACATGCACTGCCACATGCACTGCCACATGCACTGCCACATGCACTGCCACATGCACTGCCACATGCACTGCCACATGCACTGCCACATGCACTGCCACATGCACTGCCACATGCACTGCCACATGCACTGCCACATGCACTGCCACATGCACTGCCACATGCACTGCCACATGCACTGCCACATGCACTGCCACATGCACTGCCACATGCACTGCCACATGCACTGCCACATGCACTGCCACATGCACTGCCACATGCACTGCCACATGCACTGCCACATGCACTGCCACATGCACTGCCACATGCACTGCCACATGCACTGCCACATGCACTGCCACATGCACTGCCACATGCACTGCCACATGCACTGCCACATGCACTGCACATGCCACATGCACTGCCACATGCACTGCCACATGCACTGCCACATGCACTGCCACATGCACTGCCACATGCACTGCCACATGCACTGCCACATGCACTGCCACATGCACTGCCACATGCACTGCCACATGCACTGCCACATGCACTGCCACATGCACTGCCACATGCACTGCCACATGCACTGCCACATGCACTGCCACATGCACTGCCACATGCACTGCCACATGCACTGCCTCATGCACTGCCACATGCACTGCCACATGCACTGCCTCATGCACTGCCACATGCACTGCCACATGCACTGCCACATGCACTGCCACATGCACTGCCACATGCACTGCCACATGCACTGCCACATGCACTGCCACATGCACTGCCACATGCACTGCCACATGCACTCCCACATGCACTGCCACATGCACTGCCTCATGCACTGCCACATGCACTGCCACATGCACTGCCTCATGCACTGCCACATGCACTGCCACATGCACTGCCACATGCACTGCCTCATGCACTGCACATGCACTGCCACATGACATGCACTGCCACATGCACTGCCACATGCACTGCCACATGCACTGCCACATGCACTGCCACATGCACTGCCACATGCACTGCCACATGCACTGCCACATGCACTGCCACATGCACTGCCACATGCACATGCACTGCCACATGCACTGCCACATGCACTGCCACATGCACTGCCACATGCACTGCCACATGCACTGCCACATGCACTGCCACATGCACTGCCACATGCACTGCCACATGCACTGCCACATGCACTGCCACATGCACTGCCACATGCACTGCCACATGCACTGCCACATGCACTGCCACATGCACTGCCACATGCACTGCCACATGCACTGCCACATGCACTGCCACATGCACTGCCACATGCACTGCCACATGCACTGCCACATGCACTGCCACATGCACTGCCACATGCACTGCCACATGCACTGCCACATGCACTGCCACATGCACTGCCACATGCACTGCCACATGCACTGCCACATGCACTGCCACATGCACTGCCACATGCACTGCCACATGCACTGCCACATGCACTGCCACATGCACTGCCACATGCACTGCCACATGCACTGCCACATGCACTGCCACATGCACTGCCACATGCACTGCCACATGCACTGCCACATGCACTGCCACATGCACTGCCACATGCACTGCCACATGCACTGCCACATGCACTGCCACATGCACTGCCACATGCACTGCCACATGCACTGCCACATTGCACTGCCACATGCACTGCCACATGCACTGCCACATGCACTGCCACATGCACTGCCACATGCACTGCCACATGCACTGCCACATGCACTGCCACATGCACTGCCACATGCACTGCCACATGCACTGCCACATGCACTGCCACATGCACTGCCACATGCACTGCCACATGCACTGCCACATGCACTGCCACATGCACTGCCACATGCACTGCCACATGCACTGCCACATGCACTGCCACATGCACTGCCACATGCACTGCCACATGCACTGCCACATGCACTGGCCACATGCACTGCCACATGCACTGCCACATGCACTGCCACATGCACTGCCACATGCACTGCCCACATGCACTGCCACATGCACTGCACATGCACTGCCACATGCACTGCCACATGCACTGCCACATGCACTGCCACATGCACTGCCACATGCACTGCCACATGCACTGCCACATGCACTGCCACATGCACTGCCACATGCACTGCCACATGCACTGCCACCACATGCACTGCACATGCACTGCCCACATGCACTGCCACATGCACTGCCACATTCACTGCCACATGCACTGCCACATGCACTGCCACATGCACTGCCACATGCACTGCCACATGCACTGCCACATGCACTGCCACAGCACTGCCACATGCATGCCACATGCACTGGCCACATGCATCTGCCACATGCAATGCCACATGACTGCCACATGCACTGACCACCATTGCAAAACTGCCACATGCACATGCCACATGCACTGCAAATGCACTGCACATGCACTGCCACATGCACTGCCACATGCACTGGCCACATGCACTGCCACATGCACTGCCACATGCACTGCCACATGCCCTGCCACATGCACTGCCACATGCACTGCCACATGCACTGCCACATGCAATGCCACATGCACTGCCACATGCACTGCCACATGCACTGCCACATGCACTGCCAAATGCACTGCCACATGCACTGCCCACATGCACTGCCACATGCACTGCCACATGCACTGCCACATGCACTGCCACATGCACTGCCACATGCACTGCCACATGCACTGCCACATGCACTGCCACATGCACTGCCACATGCACTGCCACATGCACTGCCACATGCACTGCCACATGCACTGCCACATGCACTGCCACATGCACTGCCACATGCACTGCCACATGCACTGCCACATGCACTGCCACATGCACTGCCACATGCACTGCCACATGCACTGCCACATGCACTGCCACATGCACTGCCACATGCACTGCCACATGCACTGCCACATGCACTGCCACATGCCTCCACATGCACTGCCACATGCACTGCCACATGCACTGCCACATGCACTGCCACATGCACTGCCACATGCACTGCCACATGCACTGCCACATGCACTGCCACATGCACTGCCACATGCACTGCCACATGCACTGCCACATTGCACTGCCACATGCACTGCCACATGCACTGCCACATGCACTGCCACATGCACTGCCACATGCACTGCCACATGCACTGCCACATGCACTGCCACATGCACTGCCACATGCACTGCCACATGCACTGCCACATGCACTGCCACATGCACTGCCACATGCACTGCCACATGCACTGCCACATGCACTGCCACATGCACTGCCACATGCACTGCCACATGCACTGCCACATGCACTGCCACATGCACTGCCACATGCACTGCCACATGCACTGCCACATGCACTGCCACATGCACTGCCACATGCACTGCCACATGCACTGCCACATGCACTGCCACATGCACTGCCACATGCACTGCCACATGCACTGCCACATGCACTGCCACATGCACTGCCACATGCACTGCCACATGCACTGCCACATGCACTGCCACATGCACTGCCACATGCACTGCCACATGCACTGCCACATGCACTGCCACATGCACTGCCACATGCACTGCCACATGCACTGCCACATGCACTGCCACATGCACTGCCACATGCACTGCCACATGCACTGCCACATGCACTGCCACATGCACTGCCACATGCACTGCCACATGCACTGCCACATGCACTGCCAATGCACTGCCACATGCACTGCCACATGCACTGCCACATTGCACTGCCACATGCACTGCCACATGCACTGCCACATGCACTGCCACATGCACTGCCACATGCACTGCCACATGCACTGCCACATGCACTGCCACATGCACTGCCACATGCACTGCCACATGCACTGCCACATGCACTGCCACATGCACTGCCACATGCACTGCCACATGCACTGCCCACATGCACTGCCACATGCACTGCCACATGCACTGCCACATGCACTGCCACATGCCTGCACATGCACTGCCACATGCACTGCCACATGCACTGCCACATGCACTGCCACATGCACTGCCACATGCACTGCCACATGCACTGCCACATGCACTGCCACATGCACTGCCACATGCACTGCCACATGCACTGCCACATGCACTGCCACATGCACTGCCACATGCACTGCCACATGCACTGCCACATGCACTGCCACATGCACTGCCACATGCACTGCCTCCCAACCCCCATGCCTCACCACCACCGTGCCCCTTTCATTTAATATTTGATTCCAGGTGCTGTGAAGAACGTTCACGGGGGAGGTGAAGATGGCGTTGGGCACGACGATGGGCGCGAGGTCACCCTTCTGCAGCGTGGTGTGCAGGCAGACATGGCTGCCGCACTGCCCACTCAAGTCAGCCTCCGCCATTCTCATGCCTCCCACCCGCACCGCACTGCCTCCCACCCGCACTGCCTCCCAAGGTCGTGCCCCTGTAGCATGGTATGTGCAGGCAGACATGGCTGCCGCACTGCCCACTTCACGTCCACGCCCTACCATACACATGCCTCCCACCCGCCATGCCTCTAAACCCCATGCCCCATCACCGCCAGGAGGTGGTCTTATACACCTAAGCTAGGTTATGCAAAAGAGCACTCACAGCGGAGGTGAAGACGGAATTGGGGATGATGATGGGAGCGAGGTCGTCCCCTTGTGCTCACTGGCCCCATGTCTCTGTTCATTTGTTCTCTTTCCAAAGCCCCTCCCATGCCCCACCAAACGAGGAGAGGAGCGCTCACGGCAGAAGTGAAGATGGAGTTGGGGATGATGATGGGCGAGAGGTCGTCCCCCTCGATCGTGGTGTGCAGGAATCCGATCTCCTGCACCTTGCCCTTGAGCCCCGCCACTCGGATCTTACGGCGGCGGTATGAAGGGGGCTCACCTCATGGTGGAGTTGACGAGAGACACTCACAGCAGACGTGAAGATGGAGTTGGGGATGATGATGGGCGACAAATCATCCCCCTCGATGGTGGTGTGCAGGAACCCCATCTCCTGCACCTTGCCCTTGAGCCCCGCCACTCGGATCTTCTCCCTCAGCGCGAATGGCTGTGTGAGGATGAGCACGAGCCCGCCAAAGAAGTTGGTCACCACCTTCTCTGAGGCAAATGCCAGCGCGAAGCCTGGGGGGAGATGGGGGAGGGGGGTCGGAGGTGGGAGAAGGGACAGCGTGGGAGAGTGGGGGGAAGTGTGAGCCTTGCGTGGGGTCACATGAGCAGGAGCCCACCAGGAACCCGATCTCCTGCACCTTGCCCTTGAGCCCCGCCACTTTGATCTTCTCGCGCACCGCGAACGGCTGCGTCAGCACCAGCACCAGCCCACCGAAAAAGTTGGTCACCACCTTCTCCGATGCAAACGCCAACGCGAATCCTGGGGGGGGGGAGGGACAGCGTGGGAGAGCGGAGGGGAGGGTGACCTTTGGGTGGGGCCTCAAGAGCACCAGCACGAGCCCGCCAAAGAAGTTGGTCACCACCTTCTCGGATGCGAATGCCAACGCAAAACCTGGGGGGAGATTGGGGAGGGGGTTGGGGGAAAAGGCGGGAGAGTGTGGGAGTGCGGGGGGGAAGGGGAGCGACCTTTGGGTGCGGTCACACGAGCACAAGCACGGGCCCGCCACAGAAGTTTGTCACCACCTTCTCGGATGCAAACGCCAACGCGAAACCTGGGGGGCGATTGGGGAGGGGGGTGGGGGTGGGGTGGGGAGATCGGAGAGGGGAAGGGATGGGAGCGCAGGGGGAAGAGTGAGGCTTGCGTGGGCTCGCTCACATGAGCACCAGCCCGCCAAAGAAGTTGGTCACCACCTTCTCGGATGCAAACGCCAACGCGAAACCTGGGGGTGGCGGGGAGAGTGGGAGGGAGGGGGAAGGGAGGGGGAGTTTGTCACTATTCAAACGGCTGTGTGAGCAGAGCACCAGCACGAGCCCGCCATAGAAGTTGGTCACCACCTTCTCAGACGCAAACGCCAACGCGAAACCTGGGGGAAAAAGGGGGGACAGTGTGGGAGAGCGGGGGGGAAGGGGATGAGCTTTGCGTGAGCACCAGCACCAGCACGAGCCCGCCCAGGAAGTTGGTCACCACCTTCTCTGATGCGAATGCCAACGCGAAACCTGGCGGGAGATGGGGGAGAAGGATGGGGAGGGGGTTGGGGGTTGGGAGATCGGAGAGGAAAAGGGACAGCGTGGGAGAGCAGGGGGAAGAGTGGGCTTTGCATGGGGTGGGGTGACATGAGCACGAGCCCGCCACAGAAGTGGGTCACTATCTCCTTTCAGGCACAGCCCTTTGCACAGCCTGGTGCACAGATGCGCGGGGGTGGCGATGGGGATGGGGATGGGGATGGGGATGGGGATGGGGATGGGGATGGGGATGGGGATGGGGATGGGGATGGCGATGGGGATGGGGATGGGGATGGGGATGGGGATGGGGATGGGGATGGGGATGGGGATGGGGATGGGGATGGGGATGGGGATGAGGATGCCCCTCACCGCACCTGAGATGAGTGTGAATGCAGGGCGCACCTGAGATGAGTGTGAATGCAGGGCGCACCTGAGATGAGTGTGAATGCAGGGCGCACCTGAGATACCACCGATGGCAATGCCACACATGTCGGCAATGGTGATTGTGATGGTGATGGTGATGCCTCTGAACCCACTCTAGGTGCCCCTCATCTCACTCTAGGTGCCCCTCATCTCACTCTAGGTGCCCCTCATCTCACTCTAGATGCCCCTCATCTCACTCTAGATGCCCCTCATCGCACCTGAGATACCACCGATGGCGATGAGGGACTTGAGGCTGACACCGCACATGTCGGCGATGGCGATGGTGGTGCCTCTGAACCCACTCTACATGCCCCTCCCCTCATCTCACCTGAGATACCACCAATGGCGATGAGGGACTTGAGGCTGATGCCAAACATGTCGGCAATGGTGATGCCTGCCAGCACGCGCAGCAGCAGCGTCAGCACCGCACTCACGTTCGCCAGCACCGGCTGTTGTAGGGGGAAGGGGAGAGGGGGACGCATGAAGAGGGCGAGCAGGTGTGGCAGTGAGGGAGGGGCGAGAGGGTGATGCCTGCCAGCACGCGCAGCAGCAGCGTCAGCACCGCACTCACGTTCGCCAGCACCGGCTGTACAAGGGGGGTGTGAAGAGGAGGGGGGAAGGGAAGCGGGACGCAGAGGGGGAATGGAGAGGGAGAGGGAGAGGGCGAGCAGGTGTGGCAGTGAGGGAGGGGCGAGAGGGTGATGCCTGCCAGCACGCGCAGCAGCAGCGTCAGCACCGCACTCACGTTCGCCAGCACCGGCTGTACAAGGGGGGTGTGAAGAGGAGGGGGGAAGGGAAGCGGGACGCAGAGGGGGAATGGAGAGGGAGAGGGAGAGGGCGAGCAGGTGTGGCAGTGAGGGAGGGGCGAGAGGGTGATGCCTGCCAGCACGCGTAGCAGCAGCGTCTGCACCGCACTCACGTTCGCCAGCACCGGCTGCACGTGGGGGAGGAGAGGGTGGGGGAGGGGGAATCAGAGATGGGGAATGGAGAGGGCGAGCAGGTGTGGCAGAAAGGGGAGAGCAGGCGCGGTAGCGAGGAGAGTGAGGGAGTGTGAAGGATGCCATGCCATGCCATGCCATGCCATGCCATCCCATGCCATGCCATGCCATGCCATGCCATCCCATGCCACGCCCCATGTCATGTGGGTGCCTGGCAGTCACTTAGTCCTCGCCTTGCCCCCACGGCCCGTCCCACGCCCCACCTTGTCGTCGGGGCGTTGAGCAGCGACGAGCTTGAGGATGCGGTCCTTCCACCCGATGCCAAACCACGCCGCCGCCACCACCAGCGCCACGCCCCTCGCCCTCGCCATCAGCGCCGCCTGCCCCGCCTGCCTCAGCGCTGGTACCAGCACATGCAGACTGCCATGGGGGGTTGGAGAGGAGGGGAACGAGGGACGGGAGAAAAGGGAAGGGGAAAGTGGAACGAGGGAAGGGGGAAGAGGAACGGGGAAAAGGGGAAAGGGGAAGTTGGAAGGGGGAGAGGGAACGGGGAAGGGACAATTGGGGATGGAGGAAGAGGGAGCGGGGAAGGGGGAACGGGGGAGGGGGCAAAATAGGGAAGGAGGGGGAGTGGAGTATGAGTGAGTGAGCATGAGAGGAAGAGTGAGCAGAAAAACGGCAGCAGCGGGGCAACAAGGCGATAGAGCGATGCGATGCGATGAAGAGGCGGCGCTGCGGAGAGGCGGAGAAGGGAGAAGGGAGAGACTGACTGGCGCGTGAGGAAAGGAGAAGCGAGCGCGAACTGCATGGGGCAGACGAGCGCGGCTTTTGAGTCGACTCAAAAGGGGAGAAGGAAAGAGAAGGGCGACTGACTGGCGCGTGAGGAAGGCGGCGGCGAGTCCGAACTGCATGGGGCAGACGAGCGCGGCTTTTGAGTCGACTCAAAAGGGGAGAAGGAAAGAGAAGGGCGACTGACTGGCGCGTGAGGAAGGCGGCGGCGAGTCCGAACTGCATGGGGCAGACGAGCGCGGCTTTTGAGTCGACTCAAAAGGGGAGAAGGAAAGAGAAGGGCGACTGACTGGCGCGTGAGGAAGGCGGCGGCGAGTCCGAACTGCATGGGGCAGACGAGCGCGGCTTTTGAGTCGACTCAAAAGGGGAGAAGGAAAGAGAAGGGCGACTGACTGGCGCGTGAGGAAGGCGGCGGCGAGTCCGAACTGCATGGGGCAGACGAGCGCGCCGAACATGCTGTCGCCGAACTCATCCTCTGTCACCTCCTCGTCGCTCATCACGTATGTTCCCCACACGCTGGGAGGGGCAGGCGGAAGGCGGAGGGGGGCAGGGCGCAAAGCATGAGCGCGCCGAACATGCTGTCGCGGAACTCCTCCTCTGTTACCTCCTCATCGCTCATTACGTACGTCCCCCACACGCTGGGAGGGGCAAGGGGGGGGCGGATGGGCAGGGGCAGGGGCAGTGGCAGGGTCCAGGGACAGGGGCAGGGAAGCAGGGCGGAGAGGATTTGGAGGGGAAGGGGAAGAGGGGCGCGGCGAACATGAGCTGTCGCTGAACTCCTCCTCTGTTACCTCCTCGTCGCTCATCACGTATGTTGCCCACACGCTGCCGGAGGCAGGCGCGGGCGCAGGCGCAGGCGCAGGGGCAGGCGCAGGGGCCAGGGGGAGTGGATGGGGAGTGGGGGTGGAGAAGAGTCGGGAGCATGGGGGGGAGATAGAGAAAAGGAGAGAGAGGGATTAAGTGAAAGAAGAAGGTGGTTCGATGAAACGCGATACTGCACATTGCTGCGGGGTGCTGCACGGTGCGGGCGTGCATTGACTGCTGACACGCGTTTCGAATCCCCACGTGCACAAGCGCAACCCACCAACGCCATCGCCTCGCTTCGCTGCCTCTCCTTGTCCCCCCCTCTCCCCGCTCGTCCCTTCACAGCCCCAATGCCTCAGCGCGACGCGCCGCGTAAGCGTTTCACTGCTTCAGCGCGACACGCCCATCTGTGGCGCTTACTGGTTGAGCGCGCGGCAGATCTGCGGCGCGCAGTAGATGACGACGAGCGTTGCCAGCCCGACAATGCTCTCGCGGAGGAAAAGGACAACCTGCGCCGCCCACACGCAAACACACAGGAGAAGGCACGCGCATGCGCAGCGTGCAAGCGCACAGACGGGGGGGTGCACTGCCGTGAGCATGCAACGCGATAAACACGGACAGCACAAAGGGGCGCGCATTCGAGCCGCGGATCGGCGTCGCGGCATGGGCGCCGCGCCGATAGTACACGTTTCAAAGTGAGCAAAGTGGATGGATGGTGTATGTACGCGCGACGGATACACATTGTCGAGCTGCGAGCATTTCATATGATGGTCCATCGCATGGCCCACACTGTAACGCATCCTGCATCGCACACCCCGCCCCCCGCTGCGCCCAGGGTCCCATTCCCACCCCGAGCGCGTCCCCAGCGCGACTCACCGACACCTCCGTCAGCCCGAGGCCCGCCGCGAACCCCGCCGGCACGACGCGCGAGTACACGGCTTGCGCGACGTCCGTCAGCGCGCCGGCCTTCACCGCCGCCGCGGTCGCCGGCGGCGCCGCTGCAGCGGCAGCGGCGCGCACAGATGTGGCGCGTTGCTTTACGGAGAGCGCAGGGAGGGGCGGAAGGCATGTCCGTGCGCCGAGGGCGGAGGCGGCGGAGAGGCGAGAGGCGGGGAATGGCGCGGCGCATCGTGGTCTAATGGCAGGACGCGACAGGAGAGCAGTCGACGCTAGCGATGCCATGTTGTGTGAAGCGTCGCCCTGTGATGGCGAACAATGTCGGCTCGAGATGGCGAACAGTTCGCGGGATCCGGGCTTGGATGGGTGGGCTGACAGCACTAGAGTGTTGTATGAATAATGGAAATGCAATGAAGCGATGATGTCCGATGGAGGATAAATTTTGTTGCACATGAGCTTGGGGGGGGTCGACTATGTTCCCTCATCGCCGGGTGCTGTGGAGTTGCGGTCGTGATTCGTTGAATCGTGATTCGTGATGTGATGTGAGCGACTGGCGTGGGCGAGGCTTGACGAGGAGACAGAGATGGGAGGGAAGACGGCACTGGTGGGAGTGGGCGCGGGAGTGACGCTTACCGTCCGATCGGTAGTAACACACTGAACATGCACCGACTGCCGTTGATCGTTCCGACAGTGGCACTCGCCATCTTGACCGCCAAGCAACTCTGTTCAACTTTGAAATGTCAACCGTCGGATCTCCGATGTCCTAAAATCTTGTTCCAACTGGCTCGATATAGTGATTCGTGGATACTTGAACGTCTTCGAGTGTAGGAACATGTTTGAGGCAATATGCCAAGAGCAATAAACAAGGGCCTCCATAATATTTGTGGTAATAAGAAACACACTTATTAGCTTTGTGACGGGTGACGGGGCAGCGCCGTGGCGCTCAAGGAGTGGCCACAATGGGGTCGCTGCGTGGAGCTTGAGGAGAGGCCACGACGAGGTGCATCGGGGTCGCGACGGGGCGTTCGAAGAGAGGCCGTGAACGGGGCTCAACGGGGCTGCGCTGAGGTGCTCGATGAAAGGTCCCGACGAGGCGCTCAAAGAGGGGCAGCGACGGTGCGCTAGAAAAGGGGGCAAGAATAGGCGCCATAGGAAAGCAGAACCATGGCGTATCTGGCTCCAATACGATGTCACACTTGGGAGGGTTGTGGCTTAGAAGTTTGGAGGAGAAACGCGATGATGGAATCCGCAAGCTGACGAGGGTAGGCAATGTGCAGTAGTTAGAACTTATAGTATTTTTACATGACAGTCTATGCTACAATTTGAAAAACAATGGTATCATGCAGCTTGATGTACAATAAAGTACGCACCAAGTGTTATGAGAGTTTAAATAGAGTGCATGGAAATAATAAGTTACAATAGCAGTCAATGACGATTATACAGCATATAGAGTTACAGTACAGGATGTTGCCAATTTCTGTCAAGTAATGCTGTTCGTCGTTACTGATCGGAGTCCACACGAACATGCCAACCAAGGAAAAACGTGGAGTTTGGCATCGAAGGTCGAGCAAGCCACAGCGCGCCAGCTGGCAAGCAACTGCAATGGAGTGGAGTGGTGGAGTCCAACAAGCCAATCCACTCGCCCTTCGCTGGAGGCGCTGCCACTGACCTGTGTGTCCCTTCGGCCCACACCAGTAGCCACCTTGTTCTCAACGGCCGGTTCCTGTTCGTCACCACCACCAGGTCCTAATCTTTGAAGTTCTGTTCGGAAAGTCCAAAATGCCCCCGGGCCGGAACGGTACACCCCAACACAGCTCTGACGCATCGAGAGAGTGTAACGAAGCCACTGACACGAAGCGGTTGCCTTTCCTACTGGACGGACACCACTGCGCTTGAATCTGCAGAAACCGACGAGGAGCCCCACAGCACCACCACCAGCTTGACAACACAGTGTACATTCACTATGGCGTCGCTCGTCGTTTGTGATTGCTGCACAAACTGCTTTGCCCTCTCCTCCACCTTGCCCGTTTCAGATTCAACTCCCAAAGAAAGCACATGGCGGTTTTGTGTGTTCTCGTTGGACGGTGGGGAGGGCACATGCTAAACTGCATAGCTTCTTGTCGTCGTGTGTGGTATGGAGCGGCAGCAAGGCATTACTTACGCTAGCTGCCCCTGTCTATGGTGCACATCAAGCAAGCAAGCAGAATCATCCGTCTCTCATTCGCGTCATTTCGCCTCCCATTGTTGCATCGGTCAGTCAAGCGATTCTCCTCCAAACGCGCCATGGCCAAGTTTCACGCGGACTGCTCGCCGCTCGCGGACTCAAGATGGTTGTGTACGTGCGTGCGGCTGCGCCTCTTCACGCTCTTCGAGCTCCTCCTCGTCTCCTCGCTGCTCTGCCTCCTCGTCTTCGCTCGCCTTCCCCTGCCCTGCACCAACAACCCCCCATCGGATGATCGCACTGCCGCGCCTGCAACCCCGTCGCAGCCCACGCCATCCGATAAACATCCACAGTCCGCCCCGCCTTCCACGCCGCCCAGCGCGCCACAGCGGCAGCCAGAGGACGATCCGTCGCAGCACCTTCGCCATTTCGTGTCGCCCGACTTCTACCGCCCCCGCCTCGCCCCGTGGAGCCGCAGCTCCGCCACCACCGGCAATACCAAGGCCGCGCAGCCCCCGCCGTCGGGGATTTGCATTGCCATTCCGTCGGCGCCGCGCAATCGTGGCAGCGCGTGGAGAACCTGCTGCTGGCGCTCGACGCGCGGCGCGCACGGGAGAGAGACGGGCTGCTGGAGCACGCGATGCGCGTCGTGGTGTACAGCTCGGGCTGCCGTGTCGACGACCCCGCCAGAAGGGCCGGTGCGGCGAGAATCGGCGAATCCCCCTCCGCGTTGATGCGGGCGGCGGCGGTGCTGGCGCGCGAGGCGAACGTGAGCGAGACGTACGCGCGGCCACTGGTGGGGGCTCTGGCGCAGGACGTGGCGAACGTCAATCCGCTGGTGGACGCGCACACGGCGGCGATTGTTGAAGGTGGTTGGCTAACCATGACCTAGAACGACCTAACGCGATCTACATCGACCTAAGAAGAATTCGGTTTGACGAGCTGTGACTAAGGGAAAGCGAGGACCTAAGAAGAAGAGGAGCTACCTATGTTGGGACGGTGGAAGGAGAAACACGGTAGCGGCGCGACCTGCAGTGGGAATCGAAGAGAAGGAGGGGAAGTGTGCAGAAATGGAGAAGAAAACAGCTGAAATGTCGAGATTCCAAGCGACGTGAAGAGAAGTCACGCCGGGTCAAAGGCGCGTCCAAGGAAGTCTGATTCGAACTCGAGGCGCGTTCGGTGCATGGTTGGATTTGGAAATTGAGCCGAGTACAACTCAGCTCGAAATTAGGCGCGGCGCGAGGGCGAAATCAGAAATCCTTTTGCTTATAACTTGCTTTGTGTTTTCTGTTTTTGCATGCCTTCTTCAATGAAATTACTTGAACTTTCTGCCTTGGCGTTTTCCAGCAAATTCCTTCACACAGTTGGGGCCAGAGCTTCATATGCTTGTTACTAAGACTCTAAATAGTCTTCATGGTCTAGACTAAAGGCTGCGCACGTACAAGAGCTGGTATCAGAGCTGGTTTAAGGCGTGTTCTAGCGTTTTAAGGATAGGCGGAATTTACTAAGTATGACGGGCGATCATACTGAGGCGAGTTCGGGCTCCTCTGTGAGCATTGGAGGCTCAGAACTACAGGCCATCCTAACAGCGCTAGCACAAGCTAAATTGACGGCGAAGCCAACGATTGGGCTTAGCGAGGCCCAACGATTCCATGGAGAAAATTATAGCACGTGGCGACTCAAGTTCATTCGTAGAGCGGAGGAAGTGGATCTCTGGCCGTATTATCATCCCGACAAGGAAACGGGAGAGGGCGTCCCACCATCTGCAAAAGAAAAACCAGAAGAAAATGCGTCATTCAAAAAAAGGAGTAAGCAAGCTTTTTTCCAATTGTGTCATTCAGTTTCGGACAGCATTGCAGTGGGGCTGGATCAATTTGCTGGAGAGGAGAACTCTGCCGAACGAGCCTGGGAGTACATGGAAGCTGCTTACCTTGGACTTACGGATACCAACAAAGCCGCCATTCGGAAGAAACTTCTCCTATTGAATATGGAGCCGAGGGAGAGGGTCATTGACTACATAAATCGAGCAAAGGGGTACAATGACGACCTCAAGGCTATGGGGGCAGCTGAAACTGAAGGAGAAATGATGGGGTACATCATTAGTGGGCTGCCCAAGGAGTGGGAAGCAGAGATAGGGCTCCTAACCTGCAACCCACCCGCAAATATGACCAAGCTGTTGGAGACGCTCCAAGCTCTGGAGCGGGTGAAAGCTGATCGGCTCAGGAAGGAGGTTAGCTTGAATGGAATGGGACCAGCCACACATGCTATGGTAAACGCAGCAGCAACAGGGAAAGGATATGGAGGTTTCGGGGCGTGTTTTCAGTGTGGAAAGAAGGGTCATAAGCAGATAGACTGCTATGATAACCCAAGGAGCAGAAATTTCAAGGGGAAATGGAGCGGTCCGCAGCAGAAGGGGCTGCAGAACGGATGGCAGCAGAGAGAGGGGGAGGTTCGAGGTGATAACAAGATGCAGAGAGGCGGATTTTCAGGGGCATGTCACTATTGCCAGAAAATTGGGCATAGGGCAGCCAACTGCTACTCGAACCCCAACAGCAGGAACTACCAAGGAGCAAACCAGCAGCAAATCAAACCAGCAGCAGCAAAAGCAAATGCAGTGGAAGCTGAAAACAGTGAAGCGGACGTCATCTTGGGAGGAGCTCACAAGGCAAACGTGGCAAGGGCATCGGGGGTGTGTTTGGTGGCAAAGGGGTTCGGTGAAGCAGCGTGGTTCATGGACAGTGGGTGCACTCAGCACATGACCAATCACTGCGAGTGGCTTACAAATCTGAGGGACTCCAACGTACCGTATGTGCTCTTGGGGGATGAAGGGAAGCTGATTGTGAAGGGGGAAGGAGAGTTGCTACTCCAAGGAGAGTACGGGGAGCTGAAGCTGGAAAATGTTCTCTTAGTGGAGAAGCTCTCACTGAATCTGATCAGCCAGTCTCAACTTGACAGCACGGGGTGCAAAACCTTCAGCGACAAAGGAAAGTTGTGGGTTTTCAATGAGGATTGGAAGGTGGTTGCAGAAGGGAACAGAAATCAGGGGTTGTATGAAATGAAGCTGAGGAAGAGGGGCTGGAGGATGAGAATGCCACCTACCTGACATCACTCGAAGGGGACCTAGCTAGGGAGGAGTTGAAGGTTCGGCTTGGTGGCTTACCTGTGAAGGAGCTGCAGCAGGAAGCTTCTGCCATGGTGGTTGGGATGGAGCAGGTGGAATTGGAGACCTTGCACAGGCGCATGGGGCATGCAAGCATGGATAGGGTCAAGGAGTTGGTCAAAAAGGGCATGGTAAAAGGTGTGGCACTGAAGGAGGGGGCTGGAAGCAAGGGAAACTGCAGCAAGTGTGTTGAAGTTAAAATCACAAAGTCCCCTCACCCCCACCACCAGGTACATGAGCCTTATGGCACCTTGGACATCGTAGCAGCCGATGTGTGTGGGCCTATGAGGGTGGCGTCACGACACGGCAGCCGCTACTTCGTTACCTTCACTGATTTGGGAACGAGGCACACATGGGTGACGGAGCTGAAAGATAAGGCAGAAGTGTTTCCTAGCTTCGTGACTTGGATGGCGGAAGCGGAACGGCAAAGTGGGAAGGTGCTGAAAGTTTTAAGGACAGATAATGGAGGGGAGTTTACCGGTGAGCTGTTCAACAAGTTTTTACAGAGCAAGGGTATCCGACGGCAGCTGACTGTACCCTACACTCCACAGCATAACAGCATAGCGGAGCGAGTGAATCGGTCTCTACTAGACAGCGTGAGGAGCATGCTGGCCGACAGTGGGTTGCCGCTGAAATTTTGGGGTGATGCATTAGCTATGGCGTGCTGGTCCAAGAACCGGCTACCTACCAAGGGACTTCGGGCAGATATGACTCCCCACGAGGCCTTCTATGGCAGGAAGCCGAATCTGGGGTTCGCTCGGGTGTGGGGAAGTATGGTGCAATACAGGGAGCCAGCCGGTCCGGATCATAAGTTGCTGCCCAAGGCTCATTGGGGGATTAACCTCGGTACCTGCCCGGTGAGCAAGGGGTGGGTGATCAAGGATGTAATTTCAGGGAAGGTCATGATCACCCGGGATGTTGTCTTCTACGAGGAGGTGAACTACCTGCATTGGAAGGGAGTAGAGAAAGAGATTGCAGCAGCAGGGACAGCAATTGCACCGGACAAGGTGGACGATCTTTTGGAAGAAAAGGAGAGTGAGGGAGTTGGTGATGAAGGAGATGAGGAACTCGAAGATGTGGAACGGGCAGATTCAGTTGATTGGGTGTGGGAGAAGGCACCAACCAGGGAAGCGGATGAAAGCAAGGTAGTGGAGATAGCAGGGGAGCAGCCAAGCAAAGAAGTAGCTGAGGATGGCATTGATGAAGTGGCTGAAGAAGAGGGAGATGAAGAATCAGCAGCTGAAGGAGATAGTGATCCTTGGAAGCTTCTAAACAGTGATGACAACAATGCCAAGATGAGGGAGATAGAGGAATTACTTGAGGAGGGCGCCATCGTGATTGGAAGGGAAGTGAAGAATGGAGAAGGGAAAGCACTGGTGGATTCCAGTGAGGATGAGGTCGAGTCACCTGCAGAGGAGTTGGGGAAAGGAAAGAGGGTGAAGAAACCAAACCCTCGGTATGCGCAACTGCTGATGACGTGCTGGAAGGACATCCATACCCACCTCCTACTCTCTGCCACAGCTACTGACCTAGTCTCCAATGAAGGAAAAGTGACACACAACCTGCCCAAAGAACCAGTGAGCATCGAGGAGGCGCTAGAGGGTCCAGAAAGGGAGCAGTGGAAAGCGGCAATTGAGGAGGAGTTGAACACATTGGCTGAAAGGGGCACATGGGAGCTCGTGCCTATGCCAGAAGGAAGGAAAGCCGTGGGGGTGAAGTGGATTTTTAAGATCAAGACCGGAGATATGGGGCAGCTGGAAAGGTTCAAAGCAAGGCTCGTAGCCAAGGGCTACACTCAGGTGGAGGGGAAAGACTACAACAAGAACGAAATCTATGCTCCAGTGAGCAAGTTGACAACGGCACGGGTCTTTCTCAAGGTGGTAGCAGCAAGGAAATATTTCATGGTGCAGCTGGATATTAAAAACGCGTTTTTGTATGGGGTGCTGAAGGAGGACATCTACCTCGAGCAACCACCAGGGCATGACGATGGCTCGGGCAGAAAATGCAAGCTCAACAAGGCATTATATGGGCTGAAGCAAAGTCCTAGGGAGTGGTATATGGCGATGGATGAGCGGCTACTGCAAGGGGGATTTCAGAAAAGTGAGTGTGATAGGGCATTCTACTGGAAGGGAGAAGGGAAGGAGAAGGTGTTCTTGGTGCTATACGTGGACGACATCTTAGTGGCAGGGGCGTTAGAGGAGGAGGTAGAGAAGGTGTGCACTCACCTTGCGGAAGTGTTTCAAGTGAAGCAAATTCCACGGACCACACTCTTTCTCGGCATGAATCTGGAGCGGCGTAAGGAGGAGAGCAAGATGTTTCTGTACCAGCAGAAATATTGCAGCAGGGTGCAGCAGAGGTTTGGCAACGGCTACACGAAGGCGATTTCTACACCATTGAGTGGGGTAGCTGAAAACGACGGTGAACGAGAGGAAGATGTCAACCAATGGGGTAGCAAGGAGAGGGCTCTACAGGTATACCAGTCCATGGTGGGGTCCATAATGTATCCGGTCTCATGCACGCGTGTCGATATGGCATACGCAGCTAGCTATCTTGGGCAACAAGTGCAGCAGCAAGGGGAGAGAAAATGGAGAGAGATGAGGAGGACTATCGACTACCTACTGCAACATGAAGATGAGGGACTGTTATTCGAAGGAGGTGAAGAGACCTTGGAGTTAGTGGGGTATGCGGATGCTTCACACGCATCCGACAAGAAAACAAGGAAGGGAGCATACGGTTACGTGTTTCTGCTCGGCGGGACAGCAATCATGTGGCAAGCGAAAAAGTTGGCTGACATATCGCTCTCTAGTGCGGAAGCGGAGTACATGGCTCTGTTTTACGCATGCCAAGAGGGGGTTTGGCTGAGAAGGCTACTCAAGGAGATGGAAATAAAGGTGGAAGGACCTACGGTGATTCGCTCGGACAGCAAATCTGCAATCGATTTGGCTCATAACGACAATTGGCACGGCAGGACCAAGCATATGGACGTGAAGTATCATTGGGTGCGTTCAAAGGTGAGTAGCAAAGAGTTTGAGTTTGAATTCGTGCGTACGGAGGCACAGACGGCAGATTTTCTGACTAAGGTGTTACCAAGGGCTAATTTTGAGCGTTGCAAGAGAGAGGTTGGGATACGTACCTTGGCTGAATTGCAGGGGAGTGTGGTGCAGGCCTAGAGGTGGTTCAAGGTGAAACGTACGAGGGAGCGTGCATAAGCTGGTGGTTAGCAAACCACAGGGGAGATTGTTGAAGGTGGTTGGCTAACCATGACCTAGAACGACCTAACGCGATCTACATCGACCTAAGAAGAATTCGGTTTGACGAGCTGTGACTAAGGGAAAGCGAGGACCTAAGAAGAAGAGGAGCTACCTATGTTGGGACGGTGGAAGGAGAAACACGGTAGCGGCGCGACCTGCAGTGGGAATCGAAGAGAAGGAGGGGAAGTGTGCAGAAATGGAGAAGAAAACAGCTGAAATGTCGAGATTCCAAGCGACGTGAAGAGAAGTCACGCCGGGTCAAAGGCGCGTCCAAGGAAGTCTGATTCGAACTCGAGGCGCGTTCGGTGCATGGTTGGATTTGGAAATTGAGCCGAGTACAACTCAGCTCGAAATTAGGCGCGGCGCGAGGGCGAAATCAGAAATCCTTTTGCTTATAACTTGCTTTGTGTTTTCTGTTTTTGCATGCCTTCTTCAATGAAATTACTTGAACTTTCTGCCTTGGCGTTTTCCAGCAAATTCCTTCACACAGTTGGGGCCAGAGCTTCATATGCTTGTTACTAAGACTCTAAATAGTCTTCATGGTCTAGACTAAAGGCTGCGCACGTACAAGAGCGATCCGCGCAGTGGCGGAGCGCATGGAGCTCCCCGTGGACGTGCTCCCCGCGCACCCCGACGGCTGCGCGCTGCTGGGCGACGCCGACCGCCTCCTGCGCTCCGCGCCGCGCGAGCACGTGGAGCGCGACGGGTGGCAGCGGTGGCGATGGCACACGAAGCTGTCGATGGACTTCGCATACGCCGTGCGACAGTGCCTGGCGACGCGCCCGCGCTACGTGCTGCTGCTGCAGGACGACGCGTTCCCCGCGCGGCTGTGGGACGTGGGCATCGAGCGCTTCATGGCGCGCGACCTGCGCGGCAAGGCGCCGTGGGACGTGCTGTCGCTGTACTACCCGCGCTCGTACCGCTGGAACCTGCAGCACGCGCAGGAGTACGACATCCCCTGCTGCGCGCAGTCGCTGCTCTTCTCCGCCCGCTCCGCCGCGGAGGCGGTGGCGCACGTGGAGCGCGGAGTGACGCGCGCGCCCATGGACCTGCTGCTGCACGAGTTCATCGGCGGCGCGGCGGAGGGCGGGCGGCAGCGGCGCGCGTACGTGCACGTGCCGTCGCTGTTCCAGCACACGGGGCGCGTGCGGTCGACGGGGCAGGGGCGCGAGAAGGCGAGCTTCCACGAGGACGTGCAATTCCCCGACGAGCGCGTCGATGACCCGTACCGCGCGGAAGAGAAGCTCGCGCTGCTGCGGGGAAATGCGGGGGTGCGGCGCGCGGAGGGCGCGTGCGGGCAGGTAGAGCCCGACGGATGGCACGAGTTCCTGGAGAAGCAGCAGCAGGACTTGGCGCAGCAGATGGCGGCCGCCGTGCACGGCGGAGGCGGCGCAGGGGATGTCGCCGGCGCGCGGAGATCCGAGGACGAGCGAGGAGCGGCGAGTGGAGAGGAGGAGCGGAGCAGCGGGCAGCGGCAAGGAGCAGGAGGGGGTGAAGAGGATGCAGGGGTGGCATTGTCGAGTCTGCAGCAGGTGCCGTGGGAAGGCGAGAGCGCTGAGAGCGCGGGGCTGCGGCCAAAGCTGCGGGCGGGGGTGAGCGGCGACGTGCTGCGGCGGCACTTCCTGATGAAGGAGATGGTCATGGCGCCCGCCCTGGCGGACACGATCCTGGCGCCCGCCCTTGGGCACGCGGATCGCGCCATGCTGCAGAGGTGACTGCTGCTGACCGCGCGAGCACACCTGGGTGGCGTACCTGGGCTGCTGCCTGTAGCATACTAGGCGATACTAACCGACTTGTATAGTGATTTGTAGTGTTACTACTGCTAGGCACGACTAACCCGTTGATGCTGTAGTGCCCCTTATATTGTTATTACTTACCTGAACTGTATTGAAATGTTACTCCCGTATTGTGCGAAGAGAGAAGTGAATGATCACGAATCACGACGAGAGAATGCCCCGTCCTGGGTGAGATTATAGCGAGCGCCAATTCGAGAGATGGCAGCATACGTATAGTTACGGGGTTGCATAGCACCGGTAGCCACTAGTACCGTTGGGCTAGTCAGGCCATTCTAATTAGTGGGCGATGAGGGAATGGGGCGAGTAGGTCATGACGGATGCCGGTCGGGGTCGCGCACATCTAGTCGCGCACAGTGTCCGCCGCCTCCTGTCCTCCGTACCACGTGGTGCTTCCACGGGGCCCAGATTAGGGTAATTTCCGAAACGTCATCTCGAACGCCACGCGCCGTTTTCAAGACGGGCTTGTCGGAGAGCACCGATTTCGCGATCCCGCCGTCAATGTCGTTCGTAGCCGCGCGTGTCGCCCTAGATGCCTCCGCACCGTCGCGCGACGCGGCGTGGACCTGACTCGCGAGATCGATCGAATCGTTGCGGTACGGGGAGCGCGAGTGGGTGTAGTCGACTCGAGCGGCCGTGACCCCCGGCGCTAGTCGCGCGCACACGCGAGATTGGCGGGGAAGGTTAGGCGATTTCTCAAGCCGCACCCGTCTGGCGACTGTCGCCCTTATTCGTCGCCGCCATGCATCGTCGCTCGTCGCGCGCGCCCGCGGGCGACGCGGGCAGTCGCAGGGCGCGGCTGTACCTCGTGGCTGCCGCCGCCCTGCTCGCCCTGGTGAGGCGCGTCCGCATCGCGCATGCCGTCCTTGCCATTCATAGTCTAGTCGCCACCCACCCTCCACCCACCCTCCACCCAGCTTGTCCCCCCCATGTGCGTCCACGGCCACCCACTGCCATACCGCCGCGCACTGCTCCACTCCACCCACGTCTTTGCACCTCCCACCTCGTTGCACCTCCCTCACTTGCCCATCGCCTCCCACCATCTCTCGTGTCACCATCTCGTTTCCCTCAGCCTTCCGTACCTTGAGCCTCCCCGCGTCTTCCTCTCCTCTCCCCGTTCCCCCCACTCTCACTGTCTCATCTCCAACCCCCAGCCGCTGTTCACCCCCTCACGCTGCCATGCGCTTCGCCTGAATCACGGCACAGCACCCTTCCCCCCTCCTCTCTCCCCCCACCCCGCTGGCAGGCGCTGCTCACCCACCTGCGCACGCGCGCTCTGCTCTGCCCGCCCCCACCACTGCCCCCACACGCGCTGCCAGAGTCGCCGGACGACACAGCACCCTCGTCTGCACGCATGCTGCCTCCCACCGCGGAGATGGGCACACAGGGCGGGAGCGCTGCGCAGGAGACAAGCAAGGTGGGGCAGGAGCAGCAAAGGCAGCAGCCGCAGCAGCAGCAGGCGGGGAGGGAGGGCGGGCAGCGTGAGTCAGCAGCGGACCTGGCTTCCCTGCGGGCGTCACTGGCTGCATCCCGCTCGCCACAGGACTGCTGGAGCCGAACCGAGATGCACGCGTACATGCCGGTGAGAGGGGTGCCTGCTTGCCTGCCTGCCTGCTGCCTTGCCACTCGTCGCCACTAGCTAGCTCTTTTGCTGCTGCACCTGCAGCCGCACTCAAGCCCTGACTACACTCACGCTAATCACCTCTCTGCCTGTCTGCTTAACCCCTCTCGCGCCTCTCTCCTTGCGTGCTGCGCCCCACAGCCCGCCCACTCCCCCGCCCCCTCTGCAGCCTTCACCCACCTTCTGCGGCGTTACCAAGCCTTGCACCGCCGCTGCACCGCCCGCCTTGACTTCAAACGCGGCCTGCCGCCCGCTGATGCCTTGAGGTGCGCTCATGCATTGATGCATCGACGTGGCTGGGGCCTTGAGGTGGGGTGGTGGGCGGTAGGTAGGAGCACAGCAAGACGGAAGCATTCTCCTGGCGCCACGGCCTCACCTGGCTGCCTCACTGCCTGTGTGCGTGTGTGTGTGCTGGCAGAGCGGTGGTGGCGGCAGGGAGTGCGGAGGGCCACGCTCCGTGCCAGTACCTCTTCTATCGGGACTCCATTGCCGGTCAGCCCTGCCCGCCTCTCGCCCTGCCTGCCTCTCGCCCTGCCTGCCTCTCGCCCTGCCTGCCTCTCGCCCTGCCTGCCTCTCGCCCTGCCTGCCTCTCGCCCTGCCTGCCTCTCACCCTGCGCTGCATCTGCTGCCTCTGTTGCGGTGCCACATCTGCTGCGTCACCCACATCTTCTGCATCTGCAGCGTCGGCGTTCGCTCTGCTGTTGTGGTACTACCTTGGCAGATTCAGCTTCCAGTGTGCGAGACCGTCCCGTCTTCACTCATCGCTTCTCCCCTCTGCCCTCCCCACATCGTCCCACATCTCGACACTAACCCTTCCACTCCCCCCCCCATGGCTACAGGAGTGGGCAACAGCATACTGGCGCTGGTGTCGGCCTGCACGCTAGCGCTACTCACCAACCGCACGCTGCTGCTCTCCGCTGCCCCCTTCCCCGCCACCGCCCCCCTTCCTTCTCCAGGGGTGGGCAACCGCATACTGGCACTCGTCTCCGCGTTCACACTAGCGCTGCTCACTAACCACACGCTGCTGCTCTCCCCCATCGCCCTGCATGTCGCCATCCTCCCTTCCCCCATGCCTGCAGGGGTGGGCAACCGCATACTGGCGCTCGTGTCGGCATTCACGCTAGCACTACTCACCAATCGCACACTGCTGCTCTCCACTCATCTCCCTGCATGTCGCCATCCTCCCTTCCCTTATTCTCCCTCCAGGAGTGGGCAACCGCATGTTGGCGTTGGTATCAGCCTTCACGCTAGCGCTGCTCACCAATCGCACGCTGCTGCTGTCCGCAGCCTCCTTTCCCGCCACCGCCTTCTGCCAGCCCTTCAACGCCTCTGATTGGACCATCCCTGCCGCCCACTTTGAGTGAGCCCACCATCCCTGCCGCCCACTTTGAGTGAGCCCACCATCCCTGCCGCCCACTTTGAGTGAGCCCACCATCCCCGCCGCCCACTTTGAGTGAGCCCACCATTCCTGCTCACCACTTTGAGTGAGCCCACCATCCCTGCTCACCACTTTGAGTGAGCCGCCTCCCAAACTGCTTCAAGCAACCGTTTTCCACCTGCTTGCTCTTTCCTGTCCGTCACTCATCGATGATTGCGATCGTCGTGTGTCCTATGCCATGCCTTCTGCCCGCATTGGCATGTGTGCGTGTGCATGTGTGGGTGTGCATGTGTGGGTGTGCATGTGTGGGTGTGCATGTGTGGGTGTGCATGTGTGCGTGTGCATGTGTGGGTGTGCATGTGTGGGTGTGCATGTGTGGGTGTGCATGTGTGGGTGTGCATGTGTGGGTGTGCATGTGTGGGTGTGCATGTGTGGGTGTGCATGTGTGGGTGTGCATGTGGGGGTGTGCATGTGGGGGTGTGCATGTGGGGGTGGGCCGTATGGCAGGGCCATAGTGAGGGATGTGGGTAAGGACGCCAAGCCCAACGAGTTCCCTCCCTCCAACCGCTCCCTGCACCTCGACTACCCGTGAGCAACGACTACCCGTGCCATCACTCCCTGCCATGAGCTTCGGTATCAATCATGGCGTCTGTACCCTCCATACAATGTGTGCCAGGCATGCCATCCATGCCGCCTCTGCACATGCCATCTATCCCCAAAACGTCTCACTCACTCTACCATGCACATTGCCATGAGTGGCCATGCCTCGTCTCTCCCCTCATCAACCCCACTCCTGGCTGGCAGGAGCGACTTCTGGTGGAACGTGGTGTGCTTTGTGAGACGTCTCAAAAACAATATTTTCTGCGTCTCCCATCTCATCAACCCCACAATCGAGTGGCAGGAGCGGCTTCTGGTGGAACGTGGTGTGTGACGACGAGCAGCAGCGCATGGCACGCACGCCCGTGCTGCTCTTCACGTCCTACTTCTACACTCTGCCTGCCCTCTACTTCCGCCCCTCCTTCCAAGTACTGCCACTGTCCTCCACATGCCACGTCTTCTCTCTCGCTACCATTCCTCCTCCCATATGCTCACCCTCTCATGCCTCCCCCCTCGCACCTTTCCAACACTGCCTCTTGTTCCACCGTCGCTCTGCCTGCCCGTGTCATGCCCCTCTGCCTGCTGCACCTGCGCAGCCTGCTCTTCCCCTCAGTGCGCCCGCCCTCACCGCTACCCACACCACCAGGCCGCCCTCACCGCTACCCACACCACCTCCATCTCACACGACCCCACCACCAGGCCGCCCTGGACAGCTGGTTCCCGGACCGCCGCCCGTTCACACATGTAGCGCGCTGGCTGCTGCATCCGGCCAACTTCCTCTGGCTCGCCGTCTCGCAGGCCTTCTCCGCCTACCTCTCCCCGCACAGCCCCCGCCTCGCCCTGCAGGTCCGCCCGCATGCCCCTGCCTCCTCCCCGCACCTCATCTCATCCTCTCTCATTCCCCGCACCTCATCTCATCCTCTCTCATTCCCCGCACCTCATCTCATCCTCTCTCATTCCCCGCACCTCATCTCATCCTCTCTCATTCCCCGCACCTCATCTCATCCTCTCTCATTCCCTGCACCTCATCTCATCCTCTCTCATTCCCCGCACCTCATCTCATCCTCTCTCATTCCCCGCACCTCATCTCATCCTCTCTCATTCCCCGCACCTCATCTCATCCTCTCTCATTCCCCGCACCTCATCTCATCCTCTCTCATTCCCCGCACCTCATCTCATCCTCTCTCATTCCCCGCACCTCATCTCAGCCTCTCTCATTCCCCGCACCTCATCTCATCCTCTCTCATTCCCCGCACCTCATCTCATCCTCTCTCATTCCCCGCACCTCATCTCATCCTCTCTCATTCCCCGCACCTCATCTCATCCTCTCTCATTCCCCGCACCTCATCTCAGCCTCTCTCATTCCCCGCACCTCATCTCATCCTCTCTCATTCCCCGCACCTCATCTCATCCTCTCTCATTCCCCGCACCTCATCTCATCCTCTCTCATTCCCCACACCTCATCTCATCATCGTCTCTCAAGCCCTGCACCTCATTCCTGCATGGCTGTGCCGCCACCCTCACGTCTGCTTCTGATCAACCTTCAACCACCCTCCTCCCTGCTCCCTGCTTCTAGCCATGCCCCCCCCCTCACATAACCCTGCCTGCTCACGTGCGCCACCCTCTCCATGCGGCCCTGCCATGGCCCCTCGCCCCTCCCCCTTCCCCCTGTGCATGAAGGGATCAGATCCGCCCAGTTGAGGAGGCGGAGGAGGACATCATGCCGCGCATGCTCACCTGCATGCTCATGTGCGTCCCCCCTTCGCACTGCCCTGCCACCAACCCCTCCTGTCCCCTGTGTGCATGCCCCCCCGCCCTGCCGCCCCCTCAGATCCGCCCAGTGGAGGAGACGGAGGAGGACATCGTGCCGCGCATCCTCACCTGCGCGCACTCCATCGCGCGCCTCCTGCCCGCCGTGGGGCTCAACGATTACGAGGACGGCGCTGCCATGGTGGGTTGGCAGTGAGGGCGATGGATCATTGCTCACTCTGCTTCTGCATCATGTGCCCCTCTCTGCTTCCCCCTTGTTCCTCACCTGCGCCACCGCCATCGCGCACCTCCTGCCCACCGTGGGGCTCAGCGACTATGCAGACGGAGCTGTCATGGTGGGTGGGTTGGCAGTGAGGGCGGTGATGCCATGGTGGGTGGGTTGGCAGTGAGGGCGGTGATGCCATGGTGGGTGGGTTGGCAGTGAGGGCGGTGATGCCATGGTGGGTGGGTTGGCAGTGAGGGCGGTGATGCCATGGTGGGTGGGTTGGCAGTGAGGGCGGTGATGCCATGGTGGGTGGGTTGGCACTGAGGGCGGTGATGCCATGGTGGGTGGGTTGGCAGTGAGGGCGGTGATGCCATGGTGGGTGGGTTGGCAGTGAGGGCGGTGATGCCATGGTGGGTGGGTTGGCAGTGAGGGCGGTGATGCCATGGTGGGTGGGTTGGCAGTGAGGGCGGTGATGCCATGGTGGGTGGGTTGGCAGTGAGGGCGGTGCCATGGTGGGTTGTGAGCACCTTAAACTGTACTCGTGCCGCTACCCATCTGCCCCTGCATGTCCCTCTCTTTTCCCCTTGTTCTTCGCATGTGCCTCTGCTGAGTGCCCTTCCCGCAGTTTCACGCATCCACCAATGCCACCACCACCACCGCCACCACCACGGGTGAAGGCCCACCGGCAGCAGGCCATGGGCGGTCAGCGGCGGTGATTGTGGCGTCGCTGAGCACGCGCTTCGGGCAGCAGCTGCGGCTGCGATTCGTCAACAACCCCTCTGCTGATGGCTCGCTCATCGCCGTGCACTGGTGGGTGATGGCTTCACATGATGCTCCGTGCATTCCATAGGCATACGCCTCACCACACCACCCTGGCATGGCATGGCAGATGATGCAGCACCATGCCATGCCTTAATCTCCCCGTGCGCTCACCCACATGCTGTGCGCTCACCCCCATGCTGTGCGCTCACCCCCATGCTGTGCGCTCACCCCCATGCTGTGCGCTCACCCCCATGCTGTGCGCTCACCCCCATGCTGTGCGCTCACCCCCATGCTGTGCGCTCACCCCCATGCTGTGCGTGGCAGGGTGCATGCGGAGGAGAGTCAGAAGTTTGACTGGCCTCACTTCGGCACGGCTGTCATCGACATCTGGCTGCTCGCCCTCTGGTGAGACATCTGGCTGCTCGCCCTCTGGTGAGACATCTGGCTGCTCGCCCTCTGGTGAGACATCTGGCTGCTCGCCCTCTGGTGAGACATCTGGCTCCTCGCACTCTGGTGAGGCCCGCGCCCCTATCCAGAGCAGCGCGCACATTGCAGTGCAACCCAACGCAACTGCAAGGCTGTTCGAATCACAGATTTGGGCAGCTATGCCCCCGCGTGCCCCTCCGATGATCCTTGCATGTGCGTGCCCACCCGCCTGTGTGTGCTCACCCGCCTGTGTGTGCCCACCTGCCTGTGCGTTCCCACCTGCCTGCACGTGCCCGCCCGCCAGCGACTCCTTCCTGGTGACGGAGGGATCAACACTTGGCATGGTGGCGGCGGGGCTGGCGGGCGTCTTGTTTTGAGGCGCCTCAAAACATGCTCACCTGCCTGTGTGTGTCCCTCCACCCCTCTGCCCGTGCTGCTCACCTGCATGCATGGCAGCGACTCGTTCCTGGTGACGGAGGGGTCAACACTGGGCATGGTGGCGGCGGGGCTGGCGGGCGCCACGCCGCACATCATGAACATCATGCTCGACACCTCCACCAGCCATGACTGGCGCTCCAATGGCCGCCCCGAGTGCCAGCTCGGTGGGGCGGAGCCGTGCCTCAAGACGCACCACGGGCACGCTCAGGTGGGGTGGTCATGCTGAGGTGGGCAGGGCATGCTGAGGCGCGGGTGTGCAGGGCATGCGCGGGTGTGCAGGGCACTGAGGCACATACCGCGTTACCTTGTTCTGTTGCTTCTTTTCCTCTGCACCTCTCTCCACCACTTGCTGTCCCCTCCATCACATAATCTGCGTCTGTCTTCTTGGTATCTGCTGTCCTCTCACTCCGTTTGCTCTTCTTCATGCACGATGCATGTCTCTCCATCCGCACTTGTCGCATCTCATGCGTGCCTCCATCGCAGTGTGTCACCTCCAGTAGCCCTCACTACGGGCCCCCACTGCAACTGTGCCACGGGACAGGCAGAGGATTCTCCCTTGTGCCACCTGAATCGCCCCCACTATCGTTTGAGGCATGGTTACAAAGTGTTGGGGAGGCCTCAGCTGTCACATGAATGAACCTCAACGTAATGTGCAAGCACAGCATAGCAGACATTTTTGCCCAGTCAACATCCATTAGCTCGGTCCGATTTCCCAAGCTTCACTACGGGTTTTCGTCACGCTCCCCTGGATTCAATAAAGTTAGGTTCTTGCCTCCGCCCCACCTACCTACCTAACTGCTCCAGTGCCCTCTAACGAAAACCCCTTTATCGACCCCCGCTCTAGCGACCCCCCCTCTAGCGGCCCCCCTCTAGCGCCCTCTAGCGCCCCCCCTCTAGCGCCCTCCTTCGACATAGCCCCTTCTCTTCTCCCACTCCCCACCCTCCCATGATGCCCTCGCTCGTTTTTTCCCACTCTTCCTTCGGTCCCTCCAGCCATGTCTTTCTCCCATCATTCCTAAGCCCTGCAGCCAGCAGCCACACCTGCCCTATCTGCAGCAGCACCACCAGCAGCAGCACCAGGACCATCAGCAGCAGCAGGCATGCCACTCAGTCTCCTACCACCACCACCACCACCAGCCGGACCATCCAAGCTTCCAACACTACCCCTTTCAACCGCTTCACACCTGCACACACCGTCTCAGCCTCACACGCCTTTGCCGGGTGCAGCAGCAGCAGCAGGTGGGAAGGGTGCTACTAGCGGCAAGGCACTTCAGAGGTCCAGGTCAGGGCCGTGGTGACAAAAGGTTCACTCTCGCTGCCTGGTCTCGCTTGGTTTGCATTGAGAGGAGCACTCACTCGGCAGTGAGACCATGCCGTGAGGAGGGGAGCACTCACTGCTTGGTTTCGCTTGATAAAGGAAGGGCACAGCACAGAGTGTTCAGCTGAATGCATTGTTCAAGCTAAAATGGGCTTCTAGAGAATGTGAAACATTGGGTTGGAAGCATTGTCCTAAAATCAGATGAATTTGAAAGAGATGAGAGGAATCAATGCAGCAAGCTTCGAATACGTGTAACAAACACGAAGTGTGGATTCAGGATAGTGGTAGGTAGGTGAATTTGCAGCGCAGAAGATGACGCTAAGAATGCACACATAAGCTGTTGCACTGCTAACCACATGTGTGCACAGCACATGACGTGACTTGATTAAGTGCCTTAGAGCATTGGAATGACAGAATCAGCTTGCTAACACAACTCTTCCCAAATCGTTGCAGTTGTTGCCAGGATGGCCCAGTCATAAGCAACAGCCGCCACCACATCTGTGAATTTGCGAACATGGCATGTGTACTGCATCCATCACATGTAGCCAGAGCTTGCCTTGGCCCGAGAATGGCGACGAGAGAGAGATCGCGAGCACATGTATGGGAGACAGGGCTCGTCTCGCTTAGCACCGTAATCGCAACACCAGATTCAGGTGCTCTACCAAGATGGTTCTACCATGAAAACCCAACCTTCCTCAACCCGGTCTCTTCAGCTTAGAAAGCCGTTTTGTCAAGCTCTGAAAGCTCGGGGCTCATGGGTGCTGAAACCGTCCCAAGCGCCAGAATTGGGGGAAAAGGGGTGGGGGAGGAGAGGGGAGGGGGGAATGTCATATTCAGTCATGTCAAATTGAATGACAAAAATGTAAAATCATGCGCTAGCTGCTCATCTATATAAATTGAGACTATTACTGTCAGCTGCAGCGCATGATGCCTGCTGGCATGATGCACGGATGCTATGATGGCATGATGACCTGCAGGCTGTAACGCAGCATAATCAATTGCAAATATCATGTTTATAAAAGAATGGTTAATCTGCATGATAAAATCCCATGGCCTAATGACAACATGTCAAGTGTCCCGTGTGATCATGATTTGTGTGATGTATGTCTCAACACATGCTAAAATGGAAGCTGGATGACTTATAGGATGATAAACTTATATGCTGAATGACTTATAAGATGATGAACTTATATGCTGAATGAGTTATATGACTTATAGAATGATAAACTTATATGCTGAATGACTCATAGGATGATGAACTTATATGCTGAATGACTCACAGGATGATGAACTTATATGCTGAATGACTCATGGGATGATGAATGCTGAATGACGCATAGGATGATGAACTTATATGCTGAATGACTCATAGGATGATGAACTTTTATGCTGAATGACTCACAGGATGATGAACATATATGCTGAATGACTCATGGGATGATGAATGCTGAATGACTCATAGGATGATGAACTTAATGCTGAATGACTCATGGTGCGATAGACTGTATGATTAGTCTCTCACGGTATGATGACTTGCATGCTAAAACTACAATGGCATGATGAAATGCCCAATGGCAATATGGTGAGTCAGTTGTATGCTGACGCCTGATGGCAATAGATTTTACATGTTGGATGCCTTATGACGTGAAATTAAGGCTGGATGTCACATTGCATGAATGCTGTTGGCTGAATCAGAGGGGGAGGGGAATGAAATACCCTACCCAGCCAAGCCAAATTGAATGACAATGAAAAAAAACATGCTCGCGCTGCTCATGTATGAAATCTGGAACATACCTGTCAGCTGCAGCATTGGATGCTTGGATGAAACTACCACTGGTAAATGCCTGGTTGCATGATGAATGCACACTGTAGTATACATATTTCAGAACGGATACCAGTACGTCAGAATGCATACCTGATGCAAATATATCAACGAATATTTCAGGATGCTCACAGACTAATGGTTTGGTCGCCTGTAGCACCACTGATGCTAACAAGCAGAATTGCAGGTAACCTGAACAGCTGCTGCTTTTCCGGAGAAGTTTGGTTTCACTATGTACACTGCATACAATGAAAGGAAAGAAACACGAAACTATACAAGCAGCAAACATATGGTACAAGACAAGAACGAACAGAGAGCACATTACAAGTCTCAAAAGATTTCAGTCCACGCATTTCCTTCACTTGGCACCAACTTCACTGGTGTTGGAGTTAGCGGAACAACTGGTGTGGGCCGGCCTTCCAACACGGCCTTCCGTATCCAGCATCAGCCAACACCGAGACACTCAATCAGCCTCTGAGATACTGCCGTGTCGTCAACTGAGTCAACGAGTCAAGGCAAGCAGCTGAGTCAAGGCAGTTGCACCAGGTTTGCAGGAAGGGAGCGGATGGAGGAGGTATCGCGCAGAACCAGCTGCTGCAGCTGGGAGAGGAACTCCGGCACGTGCTGCAACGCATTGCATTGGACCAATTCCAGTCTGCGCAGCCGAGACAGTGAGCGCATGCCTTCAGGTAGCGACGTCAGCTGAGGTGCGTGAAGCTTAAGTGACGTCAGCAAGAGCAGCTCCGTGACACCTCCTGGCAGTTCCTCTGGTGACCAAGAGAGAAGTTCCAGGTGTCGCAGCTGAGGCAAACCTGTTGCCAGGTTCTCTGGGAGGCTGAGGATACCCGGTGCCTCTATCAGCAAGCTGCGCAGGCGAGGGAGAGAGGTCAGGGGCACCGGGAGCTCCCGACTATCACCATCTAAACGCATGTCCAGCTGCTCCAGTACCGCTAGCTGCTCACCCACACACCGCACCCCGACGCAGTTGAGCTTCAACACCCTCAGCTGCGGCAGCCTGGAAATGTCAACAACATGGGAGGATCCTTCCCCGAAGGGCCCCAAAGCCAGGGTGTCAAGAGAGGGTGGCAATGCAGCAGGGAGTTGACCCAACTGCTTACAATTTGTCAGCTCAAGGCTCTTCAGCCCCACAAGCGTAACTAGACTTTCGGGTATTTCTAGGAGTGACTTGCAGCTGCTGATCTTCACTCTCTGAAGTCCTGTGAGCTGTAACAGTGAGGTGGGAAGCGTTCTGCTTGGAAGCTCGACTGTCCGGCAGTTATCCAGCTCAAGGCTTGTCAAGGAGGAGAGATTGGTGAAGAAAGCCGTGAGAGGAAGCGGGCATTCATGCAGCCTGAGAGCCTCCAGACTTGCAAGGGCCCCAACCTCCTTTTGCAACTCCAGTTTCTCTGATTTTTCGATGCACAGTACCTTAAGAGCGGTGAGGAGGTCAAAACCTGCTGGCAGCTGCGAAATCCAACCGCAATCAACTATGAAGAGTGTTTTGAGGGACGTGAGATGGCAGAAGGATGGAGGGAGGCTGTCGAGATTCAGTGTTTCCAGCACCAGCAGTTTGAGGGCGGGCAAGTGACCGAAGTTGTTGGGTAAGGTAAACGCATCGCACAAGGAGACGATGAGGGTCTCCAGACAGCTCAACGAAGTGAAGCCTTCAGGCAGGGTTCCCAAGCCATCGCACTCGCGAACCGTCAGCTTGCGAAGACGCGGCAGCAGGTCTCCAAAGTGGTCAGGAAAGCTCTTCAGCTCACTGCACTCGGTAATCAGCAGCTCCTCCAGCCCAGTGAACGGTGATGCTGATGAGAAGATGGGGTCTAAATCAGGGCAGGAAATACAGAATCTCAGTGACTTCAGGCAAGATGGCAGCGTCACGCTTGCAGGATCCGCTGGCTCATGATTTCTGTAAGGGGAGAAGGTGGAGAGATGGGCGAGCCGTGGGAGGCGAAGGAGGCTGGATAGGTGCTGGAAATTCAGGAGAAGGTGACACAGAGAGTGGTAAGAGCAGTTAGGTTAGTGAACCCGGGATTCTCCAATGCGGAAGCGATATCTACAACAAGAGTGTGTAGATGCCTCAATTGGAATAGGGAATCTGGTAGCTCTGTTACTTCGTGGAAGCAGAAGAGGGAAAGCTGCTCCAACCTGGGGAGGTTCAGGATGAAGCAATCCAAGCCATGCGTGGTTATCAAATGCTCCTCCTCGTTGACATGATGCTGAACCGGGTAGACTTCGCCCTGTTTGCAGGGTCGTGCAAAGCATCTCCCCACGTGGAGAGCCGTCAGCTTCGGGCATGAAGAGGCAAGGTGGGCAAGAAAGGCGTCGTCGACCGACTCGACGCTATTGTCGCTGAGATGCAGATGAGTTAAATTTGGGAAGCACGCAACGGCGCTTTTAAGATCTTCGCAGGACACCACGAGGTCCTCTTTGACGAGGAGCGAGGTCACGTAGAGCTTCGCTAGGCGACGCCAATGACGGCAGACGGACGCGATAAAGAGATTGTGAGCAACGTCAGCGGCCTGAGGAGGGGCTGGCATCGGCGTCTCAACTATCTTACATGCTCGGAATACACCATCACTGACAGGCGAGAATACGTAAGTGGAGGTCCACAAACTATCTATGTAGGAATTGCATGACGCTGGTTGCTCGAAAGACCGCCTTAGGATCGTAAAGAGAAGCTGGTCTGGCAGGCTATTAATGTTCGTGTCAGGCTCCATCCCGGAGGTCAAAGGTCAGATATGCGGAATCAGCAGACGATGAGCTAAGGAGTGGTAAGCAGTTGTAATGTCGCTTAAAGAAGCGTC